AGTGCATTTGTGCTAGTAGTGCATTTGTGCTAGTAGTGCATTTGTGTTAGTAGTACATTTGTGCTAGTAGTGCATTTGTGCTAGTAGTACATTTGTGCTAGTAGTGTATTTGTGCTAGTAGTACATTTGTGCTAGTTGTACATTTGTGCTAGTTGTACATTTGTGCTAGTAGTACATTTGTGCTAGTAGTGCATTTGTGTTAGTAGTACATTTGTGCAAGCAATACAGTTGTACTAGAAGTACCTTTATGCTAGTAGTACATCTGTGCTAGTTGTACATCTGCTCTAGTTGTACATCTGTGCTAGTTGTACATTTGTGCTAGCAATACATTTGTACTAGAAGTACCTTTGTGCTAGTAGTACATTCGGAAATACGCCATCTGACGTACCTCTGCACCCGCGCCTCTACACTCACGCCTCTGTGGCCCCATGCAGTCTCTTATTTTCCACCTTCGTTTGGGATCAGCGAGCTTAGGAAGCTCGGCGCTTCCGTTACATGGGAGGCACTTAATACAGTGTATGAGTATAGTCCTGTGTGAAGGATTCTCAGCGTCTGTGTGAAGGGGTTGTCAGCATTTGTGTGAAGGGGACACTTCTCTAATACCCAGTCAACTCGCGCCTACATGAAGTTTAATTTTATAGTAATCCTTATAAGTTTCTTCAAATCTTCCAAGTCGGAATGGTGGAGGGTCTAGCGAAGAAAACTTTTGTGGGCTCGCATAATCTTCTGAGGAAGATGTCCCGTACAATTAAATTATACCACGCGTAAGATTATTATAAGCTATGTCACAGTTAATAATGTAATCTTCTGTATGAATTTTACGGGAACAATTCGAATCTTTTAATTATGATTGAACGATGGATTTTATTTTGTTAATTATTTTCCCTAATTTGAAGATTGATTATAATTAGACATTATTAATCATTCATGAGCGTAATCAAGAAGTTTTCCATACCGTTCTATAATGTTCCTATATAGAAGTTGTGAGGCGTGAAAAATTGTGAGGCATGACGAGTTGTGAGGCGTGATATAAATGTATATATATATACCAGTCCGCTTAAATTTGTTTAACGAGGCTGAATATCTGACCGTTAATGACTGATGACTAACCTAAGCCGAGGAGCTCAGAATTAGCCGATCTTCATTAATGTTTTTTTTTGTTCATATGAAAAAATGGTGCACACCACGAACAGGAATTCAAATTTTACGTTGAGCTGCTGGTCAGACAATTTGTATTATATATAACGACTTTTATTCAAAATATTATTAAACAAGACATTGTTACTCAAAATCTGATTTGATTTTTAACTGTCATTTAAAACTGAAGTAAATATGCGATTGTTATTTAAAGAAGAATTTAGCTTGCATAAACCGGTGGAAACGTAACAGGATTTAATGGCGTACAGATAACGCTTGAAACAAACCGTTTGTTAACGACTGTTTCAAAAATAGTTTTTTGATATAAAATTCATTACGTTTTTCAATCTCATCTTTTCAACTTTGTAAAGGATTTCATGGGATTTAGTTCAATGATGATATCAGAAAACTTTAATGATTTACATCTTGTCAATTTTTCAAATGTCTTATTCCGGTAACGTCGTTTTCAAAGATGTATACAGCGTTAATAATGACGCAGATTTATTATTGTAGCGGTCGTAAAATATGGTAGTTTGACGCAAATTCTTTGGCTATGGAAGGACCAAGTCTGATTTATTTGTTTATTGTTTGGATGTCCGCATGTCGGCGCCTCAATATAATTAATGGTGCATGATTAGAGCGGTATTTGTGTGGCTGTATATTGTGATCTGATTTGTAATGGTTGCACTCACCATACAGAAATGTCCGGATCAGAACTGCGGCCACTTTCCCATGTGATGTCATCACTTTACATCATCCTTATTCCGGTGCCATGTGGTATCATCACTTTACATCATCCTTATTCCGGTGCCATGTGGTATCATCACTTTACATCATCCTTATTCCGGTGCCATGTGAAAATTGTAGTTTGAAAATATCTGCAACGTTCCGTTTCATGTAAAATTCATGGAAACATCCGTTTTATTGTTGCTTTGCAATTTGAGTCTGAATTGCCTGAATCCCAATTAAAATTTGAATTGATGATACAACATGCATAATAAATATATGTATTTTCACTGGAGTATGACGATACTCCAGTGAGAATGTATATATTCATTATGCATGTAGTTTATTGATTTTTTCAGATATATGAATATAAGTCGTAGCTTTTTCTATTCCAATAAGAATACTACTAGCTTTACATTTTTATTACCATTAACGTTCGACGGCCGCTACTATTTACGATGCGTTAGTTACCGTTCTAAAGTCTCGGGCGCAAAACCGTTTGCTTCGGCCAAACTGTTTACTGCCAGAGGCCGGAACTTCGTCTCACTGATCCGTTTTTGCATCAATAAATTATCAACAGCAACAAAGATTTTTTGCCTTTAATATTTATCTCTAGAAATTGAATTTCAGATAAGAAATTGAAGATACACAGGGAATTGCAGTAGCTTTTGATGTTTTTTTATTCAGTTTCCCGTATAAGTGTCACGAATATTCCCTATTTTAGGGATATTTAGGATATTAGGTTGTATCTTCAATTGATTAAATAATTTCCATATATATTTCTATATTTTTATGAATTTTTATATCTGAGTGACTTTTTGATTATAAGTTTTGTTGGCTCTAATTTAATTCAAATTTTCGAAGAATAAAAAATCTGCAGAAATACAACTTAATCTTATGTAAATATAATGAACATACTTGAAATGAAAGAAATACTTGGATGGCCGTTGTATAAACGTAAAATGAATGTCAATTTTCGCTCACTAAGGAAGTCATTCTTATTCTAAAAAACTTTCATTAAATTTAGAATATATATTTATCCATATTATATTGACCGAAGAATCTACCAGATAAAAGGTAATCTGTGTTAATCATGAATATAAATATTACTTAGAAACTTTTCAGGCTTTATTGCAATCAAAATTTAGAAAATTTATTTCACTCCGTATCTGTGATTTTTCAAGGGCATCCAGAGTATACAAATCACTTTTTTAATACCTAGCCAACTAATTAAGAGATACGATTTTTTCAACCTTTAAATTCAACAGTTGATTTCATTGACGCAGTGTGAATTATTTGACCATTAAAAGAAAATAATAATGTAGATAATATGGATAATAATATAATGACTATTGATACAAGTTAGTCTCTATAAGCATCAAATAACTCGATCACTAAGTATAAATATTTCAACATTGAATTTTAATAAAAAATTATAAAATTGAAATATAAAATTTCACGTGCGAACTTTGATCCGATGCGTTGTATAATAAATCTCTTCGTAACGCCCTCATGGTTCTTACTTAACCCATTTCCTCCATATAATAAATTTCGTATCCTAAACTGTTACATCCTTCATATATCCTGTGGGTAATTCAAGGCCCAATCACAGCCCCACACGGGACTGCAGCCTATCCCCTCTCTCCCTCTCTCTTTTCCCCACTCCGAAACTTTCAGTTTTTCAGGGGCGCTAAAAACCCATTTCTAATGCCTTCATTTCTAATGGTGCCATTTCGATTAGCTTCGGATCTCGCAATAACTCCTCCCCCTTTTGATTTTATATGTTAATGGTGCCCCAGTAATATATATAATGTAAATGCAAAATGAATGTATGTAAATAATGTAAATAAAAATTAAAAAATTATGTATAATGTAAATACAAAACAAACGTGTATATGTAATGTATAAACGTTAATATGATGTAAATGCAATTTAAAATTGTGGTCTGACTGTAAGATAATGATGTGATAATGTGTAGAGGCGTAGACGTAATGTAAATCGAATTTAATATAAATGCTTAAATGGTATTTAAATTAAATCTAATGTTAAGTCGTTAATGCAATTACACACTTTTTATTATTGCCAATTTTAAAGTTACATTCGTGCAAGAACATTTCAAGATTCTGCAATAGCCTTATTCGTTGAACTAAGGTACAAAAATTATAATAAAAAATTTTTTAATATTTTTCAAATTATTTGATCAACATTTTAGCATTTCAGTGAATTATTCCATTATAATCAACTAAAGTTTGATTTATTTTTGCAAAACAATTGCTGTCGCTCTATTACGTAAGCATTGTTAATAATAAATTTTGTCCTCCCAATTTTAAAAATTTATATATTAGATTTTCAGGGATTCTTTTCTTTTTTGACAGTAAATTTCATTCCAAATCGAATTATGATTTCTAAATGTTCTTGATTTGGCTATTTTGAGAAATTTTCCGCACCGGCTTTCCTGTTTCCTATGTTATGTAACGAGGCTTGTAGAGATATTTTTGAATAATATATATAAGACTATATTTTTAACAATATTGTATTATAATCATTAAGTTGGTGCGTGACAATGTATCCTGGTAACACAATTAGAACGCGAGGATATTTTAACGTGGAATAGAAATTGTTTAGAACTCAATTGGGTTAATTTGAGTTGATATCTTGAATGTCATTAGATAATAAAGTAAGCATTGAATATAAAAGGCAGAAAGCTTCTGTTTTTCAACTTAATTTACCTTCAATGGTGTATGCTTCCTAGTGAGGTCATTCATCATGCATACACATATGAGTGTTTGCGAAAGTGACATCATGTTTGACTGTGTAATGTATTATACATCCTGCGCATTGAAAACAACACATGTTATGTATTCCACTACCGGTCTGATTATGCAAATTATGATGAAGGAAATACAAGGACAATAGCTTTATGTTTGGTACATTTTATTTTTGTGGCATGCAAACCAATACTAAGTTTGGTCTGTCAGCTATGTCTATGTTAACAGAGGGCGGACGTTTGAATAGGAGGAGCTTTGTGGAAGCAGAAGTACTGCCGTGTAATCCACCCTCCCCACCACTCCCACACCCCCACCACCTGTAGTGTTGTAGGTGTACTTACTGACGTAGGTGTATGCCACTTTCACTGACTATCGTCATAACGAAGCAAGACTCCGCGGTGAGCGGACCAGTCAGTGTCTCGTGGGTTGCCATCGCGTGGACATTGTGGTGCCTCGCTGTGCTCTCGAACTTTACGACTCGCGCCGAGTACTGCTGCCAACTGTGATAGGCAGTACCAGACATCTCGATTTATTTGGTCAACGACTTCGAGTGTGTATTAAGTCTTACCAATAATAAATGGTTATAATTACCTCGCTGTATTAAACGACTTCGAGTGATATTTATTCCCATCAACCTAATTCACCGCGACGGGTAATAGACTTTTTATCTACGAACGATCGAACTAACGACTCTTATAACGATTATTTATGAAGTGATTATGAGTGCAGAGAAAAGACAGTGGATTAGATAATATTTTATTTAGAAAATACCGGTGTTTGGTACGTCGCAGTTGTGATTCTGGTGATAAGACAGCACCGTCAACCATTATATAAACTTTTTTACATTCCAATTCACGTGTTCCAGTTTTAGTTTATTTTCTATTTCTCTTCAAGTGGCGTAGAAAACAGTACCAAAAATGCCGAAAATTTATGCATTGAAGAAGCACTTGCTTCTTCAACACAAAGAAGATGAGGCGAAAATCAGCAAAAATTTCGAGTTGTCGAGTCACCAAAACTCGAGCAGACAAGTCGACAGGCCCTCGGATTTCTACCACTTGCACTCCTACTCGAGTTCGAGTGAGAGGAATGGTTTGGGCTCGAACCCTGCCAACTACCGTCCTGAGATCATGACTTTGAATATCTCGAGAAACAGCAGCAGCAGCAGTGACAGCACTGGATATATTTCCAGCAATCCTGGTAGTCCTGACAGACCATCCTGTGACTACGGAATAAGGTCTGCACATCTGGATCTCAGCAGACCCAGACCCCGGAGCAGCCCTGAAGCAGACATGGATTGTCAGGACAGCGATTACGACCAGCCGCTCGCACTGACCGTCCGCACCAAACGTGAGTTATCAATTAATTCTTTCGTTATTATTAATGTTGAAATAATTATATTTGTATTAATTTACAGTCAAAAAAGCATGCTACAGTTGTATGTATGAAATCGATGCTAATTGGTTTTCTTTTAACAGTCATATATAACATGAGAGCAATATGCTATTTAAAAAAAATGTGCACAGTAAGTTTGCAGAACATTTTTCTTTTGTTATCGAATTAGTCCAATTTAGATAATTTACTATAATATATACCGAGCATAAACTGTCTGAACTTCCGACATGTTTCCAAGCAGTACAATTGGGCGGTCTTGCCCGCTTAAAGTAAGATAACAATTAGGTTGTTAGGCATACTCGTTAACATTTTTTATTTTACGTGTAGCATTCTTCGGCGATGTTTTGAAAGATACTCGTTAGATCAATTAAACCGTAAGACTCACCGCAATCTTATCTTGAGCTTAAGTTAAACATTTAACCATTTTATACGAACATTTAACCATTTTATATGAACATTTAATCATTTTATATGAAATTCCAGTCGTACTCCAGTCTCAAAAATTGCAACACAAAAAGCGCTCGCCCGGCACTTAACAACAAATAAAATTGACTTGATCTGCTTGTGCACTAAATTGCCATCGAAAAATTACGTTTTTGATCACGGTTAGCAAATTCAGCCAAATTGTCATTCACTATTTCGAAGCTGAATGCGTTTTTTTTTCCATTGCATCACATTCGGCTTGCATAAATACGATTTAATTTTTAGAAATTTGGTTGTAACTTAGTCGGAAACTATCAACATTAGTTGCATGTTGAACGTCACAAGTTAGTAAGGTTCAACAAGTTCGTTAGTAACTAAACAGACTCAAGTTCGAAGAATACCTTTGCCACAAAAACTAACTGCGATAAGGACGTGAATATTGGTAAAACGAAGAGGGCAAGAGTGGGAGACGATGATGTTACCCGTAAGAACACGAGGGAATTACCCCAAAAAATAACGAGATGGAGCTACCCCATGGAAAGTCGACGGATTTACCCCTAGAAAAGTCGAGACGGATTTATCTCTAGAAAACACGATGGACTTAACCCCAGAAAAGACGGATATACCACAAAAAGACTATGGAGTTACTTCAATGAAGACAATGTAGCTACCCCAAAATATACCATAAATTTACCCCGAAAAAGACGATGAAGTTACCCCAAAGAAGACGATAAATTTACTCCGAAAAATACGATAAAGTTACCCCAAAATAGACGATAAATTTACACCGAAAAGACGGTGTAGTTACCCCAAAATAGAAGATAAATTTACCCCAAAAAGACGACGAAGTTACCCCAAAATTGACGATAAATTTACCTCGAAAAAGACGATGGAGTTACCCCAAAGAAGGTAACAGGTGCGAGATTGGTGCATGGGGGAACGAGTGTGGAGAAATCGATCAAGGTTCCAGAGGAGGAAGGAACTAGTAGAGGTTACACGCTGATCGTACTTCCTGAGTGCCGTTCGCCTCCACGCATAAATGTCACAAGAGTTAAGATCCAACGCACACTTCGCGGCAACCTTGGGCTGCGTGGCCGAGTTTTTGTTGTGTGCAGTGAACACGCACGTGCGTGTTGCTCCTAGACACGTACGTGCGTGTTGCTCCTAGACACGCACGTGCGTGTTGCTCCTAGACACGTACGTGCGTGTTGCTCCTAGACACGCACGTGCGTGTTGCTCATAACACAAAAGGAAAGAATTTTCATCATCTTTTCAATTCGTTCTTGTTATTTGAAGCAATTCTTCCTTCATTGGGAGATGACTGCTGTTCGAGATTGTTTTCCACTAAAATAACCTCCTAATTTTCTCCATTCAATCGCGCTGTCGATTGACAGCAATGTCGTCAGCAATCATTAGTCTTAGGTAGTGTGAGATTCAGGCCGTATATCCTCGTACAATATTCAGGCAAGGTAATCAGGCAAGCAATTCAGGCAAGGTATTCAGGCCATACACTAAGGTAGGCGATTTAGGTAAGAAATTCAGGTAAGAGATTCAGGCAAGCGTTTCAGGCAAGAGCTTCAGAGGCAATGACCCTGACCTCGTCTGGGCTGCACAGGCAAGCGTTTCAGGCAAGAGCTTCAGAGGCAATGACCCTGACCTCGTCTGGGCTGCACACCGAGGAAGTGACACTTGCCTATACCGGAGCTCCGCTGCTCTGCCATGCGCACAGCTTTGCTAGACGCGCAATCATTCTGCTCGACTCGCAATCATTCAGCTCGAATCGTAGTCTTTCAGCTCGACTCGCAGTCTTTCTGCTCGACTTGCAGTCTTTCTGCTCGACTTGCAGTCTTTCTGCTCGACTCGCACTCTTTCTGCTCGACTCGCACTCTTTCTGCTCGACTCGCAGTCTTTCTTCTCGACTCGCAGTCTTTCTGCTCGACTCGCAGTCTTTCTGTTTGACTCGCAGTCTTTCTGCTCGACTCGCAGTCTTTCTGCTCGACTCGCAGTCTTTCTTCTCGACTCGCAGTCTTTCTGCTCGACTCGCAGTCTTTCTGTTTGACTCGCAGTCTTTCTGCTCGACTCGCAGTCTTTCTGCTCGATTCGCAATCATTCTGCTCAACATACAATAGCAATCCATGTGCTCAAAGTTGCTGGACTCTCATAGTTTGGTTGCACGGTATTGAGCAGTGATTTCAAGTCTGAAGTTTGAGTGTCAGACTCCATGGCCTGTCACAATTGACTTGCAGTTCGTAATTTAACACTAATGATCAATTGAATATCGACCGAAGTAGTAGTAATCGTAATGAACATTAATAACGCAATGGGTGAACATGGGGAAAATGAACATAATGCATTGAATGAATTTACTGGAATAAAGTTCAAGGAATGTCGTATGATAACCAATGTACAACTTAATGATTATATTAAAAATAGTGGTAAATCTCAGTTATGGCAGTTAAAAATTGTAATTGAACGCAATTGACGTAATTTATAACTCGGTGATATAACTTATAATCGCCCTAACGCAGATGCGTGGTACGTCGTTGACCTCATTCCGACAACAGCATAGAGCAGATGTACAGCAGCTGTATTGTGTATAGCAGTAGATGGATAGTATATAGCAGTAGATGGATAGTGTATAGCAGTAGATGGATAGTGTATAGCAGTAGCTGTATAGTGTATAGCAGTAGCTATATAAGAAGCCAAATGCACCAGTAATTTTCATGAAACAGGGTCTCATTGAGTAGCTGTATGGCAACAGCAATCTCACAACAGCTGTATGGCAACAGCAATCTCACAACAGCTGTATGGCAACAGCAATCTCACAACAGCTGTATGGCAACAGCTGTATGGCAACTGCTGCACGGCAACAGCTGCATGGCAACAGCTGTATGACAACAGCTGTATGGGAACAGCTGCACGGCAACAGCTGCATGGCAACAGCTGTATGGCAACAGCTGTATGGCAATAGCTGTATGACTACAGCTGTATGACTACAGCTGTATGACTACAGCTGTATGACTACAGCTGTATGACTACAGCTGTAAGGCAACAGCTGTATGGCAACAGCTGTATGGCAATAGCTGTATGACTACAGCTGTATGGCAACAGCTTTATGGCAGCAGCTGGATGGCAGCAGCTGCATGGCAACAGCTGTATGGCAACAGCTGTATGACAAAAGCTGTATGGCAACAGCAATCTCACAACAGCTGTATGGCAGCTGCTGTATGACAACAGCTGTATGGCAACAGCTGTATGGCAACAACTGTATGGCAACAACTGTAAGGCAACAGCTGTATGGCAACAGCTGTTTTTCAGACACCAAACGTACATACACATACGAGTGCTAGCAACAGCTGCTACATCCTTGAACTGCTCGTAGCAATAGAAGGCCACGGCTGCTGTAACACGTCGGTCCCTCACACGTNGCAGTTCTGTAGAGCAGCATGCAGTTCTGTAGAGCAGCATGCAGTTCTGTAGAGCCTGTCTCTTATACACATCTAGATGTGTATAAGAGACAGATATTAAATTGTGGAGAGTACCTTTATTAACATATGATGATATGAGATATATTATTACAACAATTATTAATTGAGAATTTTTTAAAATAACAAAAAAATCTTTTGAACTGAAAGAAGAAATTTGAAAAATAATTCTGCAACATGCACGAGGAAAAACGATGACGAACGATAACTGTGACTTACGATGCTAACGACTTCGAAGCTTGCAGGACTTAAGCCGTAGATTTTAAATATACTATATAAGTCTACGGACTTTGTAACTCGGTTTCAGTGTTTTACTTGAGCCTCGTTGAAATCTCCCGGCATAGATGTTGTGCTTTTCATCGATATTTTTTATTTTAAGTTATTTTTATTAATTTATTAATTCTAATTTTCATTAAATAATGCATTTTAAAGCCTACATAACCTGCATTGCCAGTTGAGAAATATACAATAACCGTCAAAATCTCTGTACAACTTTTATTAAAATCCCGCGTTGATTCATTCTCATCGCCATGCCCCAGAACTCGTGACAGCAAGAAAGGCTTCATTAATAAATCTAAACGGACGCCTCCTAGCGGTACCTCTGAGGTCAAGCTTAATTGTCATTCTACGCAGCCTGCAGCACTTGGGTATAATTCTGCCGCAGGATTGCGTGCATTGCGTACAGATGTATGAAGTGATGTACGAAGTAACGTACGAAGGAATGTATGAAGTAATGTACGAAGTAATGTACGAAGTAATGTACGAAGTAATGTACGAAGTAACGTACGAATTAATGTACGAAGAAACGTACGCATTAATGTACAAAGTAACGTACGCATTAATGTACGAAGTAACGTACAAAATAGCGTACGAATTAATGTACGAAGTAACGTACGAAGAATTACGTTACGTTTTGCGAATAAAAGTATGAAAGAGCTTACGAAGTAACTTAGCTGCTCCTGAAAATTGCTAGCGTTTATTTTCTTTGAGAAAGATCGTTTACTCAACCCTGCGCCGGGCAAGAGTTAAGCAACCAATATGACAGGT